CCCCCCCCAAGTGCCTAACGCTACGCGATGGGCTTGTCGCGTTCGCGAAGGGTAACGCCCCCATCGCTTCGTGTTCGCGAAGAAGAAATCTTCAGCTGCCCAGTTTACTCTTCGCGTTCGCGAGAGTACCTTCGCGAACGCGAAGAAGGACACCGGAACACAGATTCTGCAAAAAAAACCAGCTTTTCAAAATCCAAAACATCCCGTGGCCTATCCGAAACTCACCCGAGCCCTCGGGGCTCCAAACCAAACATGCACACAAGTCTAAAAATATCATACGAACTTGCTCGCACGATCAAATCGCTAAAATAACACCTAGAACTCTAGATTTAGCACTAATTCAAATGAAATTCTCAAGAACACTTTAAAACTTTAATTTCTCAACTGGACGTCTGAATCATGTCAAAACAACTCCATTTCTCACCAAATTTCACAGACATATCTTAAATATCATAATGAACCTGTACCGGGTTCCGAAACCAAAAATACGGACCCGATACTAACAATGCCAAATATCAATCAATTCTTAAAAATAAATAATTTCTAAACTTTTAATTTTCATCAAAAATTCATAACTCAAGATAGGGACCTCAAAATTCGATTCTGGGCATACGCCTAGGTCCCATAATTCGATACGGACTTACTGGAACCGTCAAAGTACGGATCCGGGCCCGTTTATCAAAAATATTGACCGAAATCAACTAAAATTAACTTTTAAGGCAAAATTCTTATTTTCATTAGTTTTCAACATAAAAGCTTTCTGGAAACCTGCCCAGACTGTGCACGTAAATCGAGGATGGTAAAAATTAGATTTTTATGGCTTAAGAGCGCAGATTCGAGTTCTAAAATATAAGATGATATTTTGGGTCATCACAATTTATTAATGATTTATTATTTCTAATATTAGGAGGAGTATTTTCAAAACTAGAATAATAGCACAATTATGCTAAATAAAAAAGTTAAAAATTTTAAAAATATGAGCAACTATATGGAATCACAAAAAATAAAGGTTAAGAAATGAGAATATTATTTAAATATAAAAAAGTAATCTATCATTTTAACATAGTTAAGTTAGCATATAATCTCATCTAATAACAAAGTTCAACTTTAATGACATCACACACTATAAATCAAGTTTGTGGGTGACTTATTCTTTTTAAGATTACGAGGTATAAATTTTTTAGAAAAATTAGAATAATAATATAGCTAAGTGGAATAAAATAATTAAGAATGAAAAAAATATGAGAAATTATGTAAAAAAAACATGTGAAGTAAAGGTTGGGAAATGAGAAATAAGAAAGAAAAAATAATGTAAAAAAAAAAGAATTTTAAAAGTTAGAAAAAATAAAAAGAAAAAAAGAACAAAAATAAAAAGTAAATTAAAAAGAAAAGAAAAGAAATTCAAAAAATAACCTGATAATTACACCATATAATTACCCATAATTTTCGACCCCCTTGAGAATTGCATAGTGTAATTATGCACCCTCAATTACACTCAATTAGATGCGGACCAAGTAATTACTTGGTGTCATACAAATATGTCAAAATTGTGTAATTACACACACCAAATCTAGTTATAGGGTGACTTTCCGGACATGCTCTAAGGAAATATCAAAGGACTTGATCATAACTCTGCATTTTTGCAAAGGAAAGTGGATTGAGATCTGGACCCAAAAAAAAACAAGATTGTGTCGCTTCTTTTCTTTAGAGGTGCAATATCCTAAAATTTCGGGTCTGTTCCTATAAGGTATGTAAACAAGGGCATAAATTAGGTAGGAAATAAAGATGTTTAATCATGTACTTAAATGGATATAAATACAATTCAACATCATAGATCAATGAGTTGTAGATTGTCTAGCCAATTGTGTCATTCAGTTATCACCTATAATCCTATATAGGAAAAATCCATTGGTCGATTAAGATTGTCATCTTTTTGAAATTAAAAACTAATAAACCTCAATTTCAAGACCCAATAAATATATTTTCTATCGAGATATCTTTATATATATATATATATATAGAGAGAGAGAATATTACTTTTTCTTAGATAATTATTGAGATATTTACCGAAGAAATAGAAGCCCTCTTGAAACAAGCTATTCAAGAATAAATGAATTGTTTTATACTTCAAGAACAAGCATAAAAAATATTAATTAATTTTGTTTTAATTTATTAAAGAAGGAATCAATCGTCTTGGGTTCAAATATTCAAACTGTATTTCTTGCTATCGAAATCTAAAAAATTACATTCAAGCAGATTCCAAGAGAATGAAGTGAATCTTGGAATGCCTTGAGAAAGCAAGCAAATAACTAGCATGAGGAATGCTTACTACATTTGAAAGAAAGACAAAATCCAGATATATATATAATCATGAGAAATTAAGAATGTTGGGTTGGTATCAAAATATATATTATCATGAGAATGTTGGTTTTTTTTAATTTATAAGAATGTTGGGTTGGTACTGGAGAATGTGCTATAAAAGTTTTGTACCGTATTAGAACGTCCTTTGATTTTATGAATAGCAATAACCGAAGAGTCGGATAAATATAATTCACTACCTACTTCAAAGTTCAAAAGGCAATGGACACTCAACGATTTAAAATTAAATTAATTTTAAATATAAGATATATTACTCCTTTCGAAACAAATAAAAAAAGGTAAGAAATCACATAATAGAAGGAATACCTTTTTTCTCCGCGACAGATGCCTAAGCCATACCACTCATTTGCTGGTTTATGAATTATGCCTTACTTTCCTTTACTTCCATATTCAAAAAGAAGATAAAAAGTAAGACAAAAGAAAGCTAAAATAAGCAAGCTTTTGTACTGAAAAAATAAGCCTATCTTTAGTGACATCCAACTCTTATCTCCTTTTAAAGTTGCAAATATTGTATAATATTCGGGTATTAATTTTATGCCATTATTCAACCTAATCTCATTCAAGATTATATACTATTTATTTCTTGGTACAAGATTATATAAATATTTCTGCTTTGCTCGTAATCACATCATATAGAGAGGGGGACAGAGAGTGGTAACCTTCAATCATTCTTTTTTCCTTTGGAAGATATTTGAACTTCATGAAAATATGGCCAAATTGGTTAAAATCTTGGCTGGTTTGGTAATAGTGGCATTCGATGTCGTTGCTGGGATTCTTGGATATAAAGCAGAAGCATCTGAAAACCAGGTATATCAATCGATTAATTTAACAAAACCTTAACTTCAAATTAATTTGTTGAAATCCATTATTTAATCTTCTCTATTCATAATCGAGTCTAATTCATACAACTTCTAATGGTATCCGGTGAAGATTTTCGCTTCTTTTTTCAAAACTTGCCACTGGTTCTAAATTCCAAAGGTATGATATAATGGAAAATATCAGTGTAATAGACATTTTCCTAAAGATCAGGAAAAGGAAAGAGTGTCAGCATTTCAAACTCCTCCAGAAAGGTTTTCTTATGAGTTTAATAGCCTATTTGGCCCGACTTCTAAGATCCAGAGAAGTATTTTTTTTTCTTAAAAGTGTACTTCTTGTAAGAAGTAGTTTGTGTTTATTTAATTAATTTAAAAATTATTTTTAAGCATTCATTAGTGTTTGACCAAATTTTTAAAAAGTGTTTTTACTATATTTTTCTCAAAATTGCTTTTCGAAAAAGTATTTTTGGTGAAAAACTATTTTTTTTTTGTTTCTCCCAAATTGGTTCTGTTTCTACTCAAAAATATTTTTGTTTCTTTTAAAAACTTGGTCAAACACTTAACATTGAAAAAAATTCTTTTTGAAAAAATGTTTTTTTCATTTGGAGAAGCTTGACCAACAGACTATAAATCTATAAATTGATGGTATAAAAATATTCATATAATCATATCATTTATAGGTAAATCTTGTAATAAGTACCAGTAGTAATCGATAATCTGATAAAAATGGAAGAGGTGTGTCGGAAAATTACACTTTGTCATTTTTTTAAATTATGTATATATACCATAAAGTATTTGATTGGTTGAATTGGAGCAGGAAAAGCAGCAGACGCAGTGGTTGTTCGAGTCATGTAACAAGCCAAGCCATGAGGCATTTGTTTTTGGGTTAGCTGCAGCAACTCTGCTTGGAATAGCTCATGTTCTTGCCAACCTTCTCGGAGGCTGCAGTGTTTGTACTACTGACGATATTAGGAAAGCCACCCCTATCAAGCAATTATCAATTGCTTGTCTCGTTTTTACATGGTATGGTATCAAAAGAAATAGTTGGAGACCCGTTGGGCAAGTCTATAAATTTTGTCTTTTGATTTTCAGGATCATATTTGCAGTAGGATTGGGAATGCTGGTGATAGGGACAAAAGCAAACCACAAGTCAAGAACTTCGTGTGGTTTTATACATCATAATTACCTATCCATTGGTGGAATTCTGTGTTTTGTTCATGCCCTCTTTTCTGTTGCATATTATGTCGCAGCTAGTCAAAATCTGGCCTAACTTATGAAGATAAGAGATTTTGAGCAGATGAAAGTTTTTGAGATGTTCTAGACCAATGGCATTTGCATATTATGTTGAACACCTAATTGTAACTGTGTTTTGCATCACACAAGGTTGACTAGTTTTGACTAAAATAAATTTAGGATAAAGGGTTAGTGTGGAACAGACAAGACAAGGAAGAGGCAGCACTGAGATCACAGAGCAAAGAGGAAGAGAAGTCTATAGAGCATAACTCCAAATGGAAGCAACATGTGTAAGAGCTCATTTCACATGAGATAATTTACCTATAAACCAGAACAACTGAAGAACGCTAATGTCTGAAATTTCGCCCCCCATTCCTGTTCCCACTTGTTGTGAATCACACTGGACAATATAGGTTCTAGAAATTATGATTTTGGCTCTAATTGCACATGTTTTTTTTAGAATGGTGTTACAAATTTCATTGCACACCCAACTCTTGACCTTGTTGTACAGTTTGTATCATGGAATTGGCAATAGTAAGGTGTTTTATTCTCAAAATAATGCGAGAATTTGCATTAAAACAGAGCAAGAGTTGAGTCTTCAAAGTGTTTCGCTTACCCGCTTCCCATTTAAAACAGTTCTCCATCATTTGTGATAATTGGAAATTGATTTTCATATATCATAGATGGACTTGGCTTCCCCACATGTAAAAGTAAAATGCTCCTTATTTAATGAAGTTATCTTTTTTGAGAAATTTACTTTGGACTTTGAGTAGCAGAGAAAGGCATATCTGTCTTGAAAGTTAACATCTGTTTAAAATAGTCAAACATCCAAAATCTATTTAAGAATTGTTGTTTAACTTTAAAATTATTCTACTCAAGATAACTGGTGAGAGGTTCGTTGTATCTTAAATTAAGTTGTATGCACTAACCGTAAAAAAAAAAAAAACATTATGCAATTAAGTAACTCAAGATAAATGTAGGTAAATGTTACATCCCAACCTTGGGGGTGTAGCCGGAACCCGGTGCCCGAGCGAATCACATCTGAAGTAATACTCTGAACATACAGAAGATTGAGCCAACAAGGCCGTGACATATCTAATCCATAGACAAAATGATAATAACCGTATAAGGCCCACAAAGCCACAGAATGACCAAAGAAGGCTATCTGATACTGACCAATAGAGAGGCCGGCAAGGCCAAACATGATAATAGGACATACAACCCAAGTCTATAAGTCTCTAAGATCATCATATAGGACAAGAAAGTCGGGACAGCCCCCCGCCCAATATACCCAAAATGCATATATACATGGATCTCATAGCATACCAACACACTACAGTAACTCCAAGAAGAATGGACTGCATCACACCACCGCTGATCTGGATATCCTACTGGAGAGGTTCGTCAACTTGTCTTCCGGGATCTGCGGGCATAAAATATAGCCCCGACAAAGAGACATAGTACGAAATAATATACTGATATACAAGGCAGATAAAAGCATAAATAAAGATATGAATGTAAGCAAGAGACAATAAGGATCAACCAAAAACACTGAATTGCCACTAACAAAAAGGAGATAGCTAAATAAAATCTAAAACCACCATAAAATTACCACCAAAGTACCTGTAACTTTCTGCAAAGGAAAAACATAAGCATCAATTATTGTCCCAACCACCAAATTTTAACGTTCCTAGTCCAATCTAAAAATAAATATATCTAACATAATCTAAAAGCTCCACGAAAATGACTTTAGTAAGTGCCCGAAACTTTTTGCACAAAAGAAGAAACATGTATAAGCCCTCAACTTCTACTTACCTCTCGTAACCTCAGCCACCAATTTACAACAACAACAATTCAGTATAATCTCACTAGTGGGATCTGAGGAGGGTAGTGTGTACGCAAACCTTACTCTTACCCTGGGGTAGAGAGGTTATTTTTGATATACTCTCGGCTCCCTTCCTCCAAGAACTCCTTATCTTGCTCTTGGGTGACTCGAACTCACAAACTCATGGTTGTGAGCGGAGAATGGAGCAACCCACCCTTGGAAGTGGGGTCTGGGTAGGATGCTCAGCCACCAATTTACAGTTCTCCCTAATGAAATCTAACCTCTTTATCTTCAAATCAGTTTCTTCCTCCTCCAGTTTGTTCAACTTTTCCTCCAAATCCCTCATCTTGTCACTACCAATCAAACTCATATTCTTCTTCATCACATTAAAAGTTGCAGCCAAATGCGGATATTCTTCATCTATTTTACCATTAGCCGCCACCTCTTCTACAACAATCGCTTTCTCAACTTCCTTTAGTTTGGCAAAGGTATTAATTATTAACTTGATTCCTCTCGTTGTTCACATTCTTAACAAGCTTATTAACACTCCCACTACTAACCTTGCCACCATATATTTTCTTTGAATATTCATAGATCCCATAGTTTCTTAGAAAGCTCAAATATTAAATAATCATGAGGATTAGTGAAAACAGGGTCCTGCCCTTTCTTCTCCAAATTAGCAAACAACTTCCTTTTCAACCTCCTAACCTTATCATTCATCCGAAACCTATCAACTTTGACTTGCAATTTTTCAGCGATAAAGTAGTAGAATGAGTACATGTCCACATAAGGCCGGCGTTTCTCATATTGGGAGGACTTGAACTCAATCAAACCTTTAAGTAGAGTTATCAGGTCTTCATCACCCACCAGGAAAAATCCCATGACGATTTGAGCTTCTTACTCTGCTCATTATCAGTTTGAGTCTCTTCTTGAGGTCTCTTTAATGGGGGTGTTGGTCCAAGTGAAAGGTTTGTTTGGAAGATTGACAAAGTAAGTTCAGGCATGAACCAGGTCCGTCCATCCCTTGTGTGTATAGACACGGGCAGAATCGAGCATGTGGGATACACGTGAAGGAGATAAACTTAACTTGATATAATTGATATCTCGATCGAAAATATTGCATAATTGATAAGTAAAAGGACTCCTTACTCAAAGAGAACACTATGCAAGATAAGGAAACTATATATATTGCAGGATGTTCTCATTCTACAGGTACACACAAAAGCAGAAGCTAACCGTGAATTTAGAGCAAAATAGCAAGATATTTTGCAAGCAATTCGTGTGTGATTCAAGTGTGCAAACCTGAAGCTACATAAACCAGATAGAAGAATCAGCTCCAAGTGTCTGTCATTTATTCTAGTTCAATTGTAGTAGGTGTTTTCATATTGTACCTTTCAGCTTTATCTAGAGGCAATTGTAATAGGTACTCAGAGTATTCAAGTTAGAGTTAATTTGAAGTTGTCGCAACAGTTAGAACTTGTTTGCTACAACGGGATTAAAGTTAGTCCTAGGTTTACAAAAGTATTTTGTAAATGCAGATTTGGCTCAGTGATTTAGTGGAGAGTTTGGAAAAATCCTACTGAAAGTAGGTCGTGGCTTTTTTTACCTTTTGAACCAGGTGTTTTTCACGTAAAATACTTGTGTTCTTTACTTTCCGCATTTACCATTTCAGCAATAGTAGGTTAAGGAACACTTAGAGAAACCAGGTCCTTCCATAATCAGTTTAAGCAAAAAATTGGACATCACACAAATCACCCCCTCTTGTGTGGTATTGAAGTTAAAACATTAGGGGGGCAGTGGGCAGCACTGGGATTTATGGGGATATGGGATTGGTCTAAGTTGGAATCAGAGACGGAAGAAGATAGACGCCAGCGTAAGTGGTCTGAATCTGAAGAACTGGAAGAGAGTAGAGGGCGAGGCTTAGGCTTTTGACTGTTAAGGGTACTGAGTTTTTTTTCCATTTGGGCTTGTCAGACTACCATCTTCTTCTTGTTTTGTCAAAATGGCATGGCATAGCCATTTTTACGGCTGGCTATCCAAAAATAGCCATCATCGCTAATGTAATCGATTTCTAGCCATTTTAACTTAAAATATATTAGTAAATAACATAATTGCCCCTGTCCTTTTTAACAGTCTGTTTTAGTTACTTTTCATTTTTAATCGCTCTTTCTCTTTATTTTTACATCATTGTACGGATTTCGCTTTCGTGAGAGCAGTTTCTTCGAATTTAGTATGGGTTTAGGTTTAATTTTCTTCAAATTTGTCTCGGTAAATGTTGTTTTTATAATAATATGTTTGAATTTTCATTGTTATTATTGTTTCGTTAGTTTTAAGTTTGATTTCCGTACTGTTAGTTTTAAATATTTGTGGTATTTTAACATTTACGATTTTTTTTATCTGTTTAATAGTTCGTCTTATTTCTGAAAATTTTGTCACTTTGTTATTAGTTTTATGTTGTAATGTTGTAATCGTTGCGTAATTTATTTTGATAAGTATATTATATGTTGTATGAGCTTTATTATATACTGGAGTTCTTCTATTTTGAAAATACTGCTTTTGACTGATAATTTTTAGCTTTTTTTTTGTTTTTTATTTTTTGCATGCTGTATTTGATTATGTTTTAATGATAAACAAAAAAAGTATTTGCTTATGGAGTTTTATTTTTGTAATAAATTTGGTTCAGTATATTTATACGGGAAATCTGTCTTCTGAAGGCTTGTTTTCCATTATTTATACTGGATGGTTTTTTATTATGTTTTTTATTTATGGAGTTTTGTAATAATATTTGTCCAGTATATTATACGGGACGTCTGTCATCTGAATGATTGTCCTTCAGTATGTTATACTGGATGATTATTATAATATATTTGAGTTTTGTTTGATTTCAGTATATTTTACGGGAAGTCTGTCTTCTGAAGGCTTGTTTCCTAGTATTTTATATTGGATGATTTTTGATTATGTTTTTTGTTTATGGAGTTTTGTAATAATTTTTTACCAGTATATTATACGGAAAGTCTGTCATTTGAATGTTTGTCTTCCAGTATGTTATACTAGATGATTATTATAATATACTTGAGTTTTGTTTGATTCTAATATATTATACGAAAATTCTGTCGTCTGTAAGCTTGTTGTCCAGTATGTTATACTGGATAAGTTCTGTTAAGACTAGAGTTTTGTTTTATTTGTGATTACTTTTTTTGAATGATTATTTGTATTTTTATTTTTTTATTGTATTATGCTCTTTGATTATGTTTCTTCTTTATACCCCAGTATTTGTTTCTAGAATTTCATTATTTCTAATTAAGTTTGTCCAGTATATTATACTGGAAGACTGTCATATGTAGGCTTTGTTGTCCAGTACTTTATACTGGATGAGTTCTGTTTATACTTTAGTTCTGTTTTATATACTGGATTTTGATTGTGTTTAGTAATCTAATTTGTAATATGCTTTGTTTTCATGATTTTATAGAAATGGAATCTTCAAGTAGTATATTGAAGGTACGTATTCCTGAAATGTTCAAGTTTTTATCTTAAAATTATATGAAATGTTGCTTATATGTGTTGTGTTTTAATTTTAGGAGAGAGATAGATTTTATGACTTTTAAGGAATGGTTTCCGGCTGATTGTTATTGAAAATGCAATCGAAATTTTAAACAAATTATATCATCCTTTTTGTCCGGATCTCAAATGGATGTGTTGAAGAATAGTATTTTTGGTAAGTTTTTAGAGTTGAATGAAGTGAGTCACTCTGGGAAGTTGACTCATTGTATGCTGCTGTCTCAACTTTTCTACAAGGATAGAAGCAAAATGGTTTTTAAAGTTTTTGGGCATGATGTAGCATTTACAGAAGAAGATTTCCACACTATTACCGGACATAAGATTGAGTCATCTGATTATAGTTTCGTGGACTCTAGAATGAACCATTTAAAGGAACGGTGTTTTTCTGAAGTGAAAAAGGGTTTGAAGATAAAGACCTTGTATAAATTTATGCAAAAGTGGTCTTGATTGCGTGGTGGTACAGGAGATGATGTATGTGTTGATGTCGAGGTTTGCGATGAAGATGCAGTAAAGCTTGCTAAGATTTATTTATTAGAAGCAGTTCTATTGGGTAAATTTGAAGGTAGAAATATAAGTGATCGTTGTATGAAAGTCATAGACGATGAAGATCTTTCCGTTTCTTTTCCATGGAGCAATTTCATTTTTGATGAGTTTATTTATAATTTGTCTCATCTTCTAACAACTGACTCAGTGAAAAAGAAACCAATTGGTAGGATCCCATCTTATACGTCACTTGGATTCCCATTTTTGTTCAACGTATGGATAATGGAAGTCTTTAATGATTTCCGTCAATTTTCAAAATATGAGGATCGGGGGCCAATTAGGATGTTGTCTTACTTAAGCATTGGATATCCAAAATATGACACTTTTGCATTATTTCTTTACATGAGTTTGTTCTGGTTTCTATCACAGATACTTTCAGTATAATCTACTGGATTTTCTGAGTTTTTCATATTAAATGAAGAAAAATGTAGTATTTTATACTGGTGTTTTGTTCTATACCATTTTATTCATAATTTTTTGTAGTAGTTTGAATGAAAGGTACTTCCAGTATAATACATTGGAATTTTATGAGTTTTACATATTAATTCAAAAAGCTCCAGCGTATTATACTTGTGTTTTGTTCAGGTTTTGAATCAAACACTGTAACACCATTTTATGTAGTATTTTTTATTTTTTAATACTTTGAATTAAAGATACCTCCAGTACTATATGCTGGAGACTTTATAGTTTTGACATAGGTAATCAAAAAAGTCCAGCATTTTATTCAAGATCTTATGGGAACCTTAAAAACTTAGATGTGTTATTCTTATTTGAATCACAGATACTTCCAGTATAATCAGCTGGGTTTCTGAGTTTTAGATATTAATTAACAAATGTCCAGCATATTATACTGATGTTTTGTTCTGCACCATTTTATATTATTTTTTGCGGTTTTGAATTAAAGATATCTCCAATACTATAGCATATGTTATTTTTTAAAGAACAACATAAATTACTTGAAATTAAATTACATTTATATATTATTCAATTAAGAACAAAATAAAAGTTTCTTACATAAAATTTATAATAATATCAGAACAATGCAGATTAACGTATTGAGAAAATTCTAGATTATCACAGATGAAAGCATTGAGATGAAACTAGAAAATTAGAAGAATCAGAAAAATAATTGAAAGCTTACTTCAATCTGTAGATTACGCCGCAAGATTCTACTGAAAACAGAGTGTGAGGTCGTGTTGCGCAAATTTATAAATAGAGTAGGGGTAATTTAGTCAATAACACATTTTCGTACTAATTTAATGGCTAAATAAGGTTGACTTTTGTTTATGTGGCTAAATTTGATTGACCATAAATATCGCTAGTTGTGAATTTTCCGCTCTTGTTTTTCATCCTTTCTCGAGAGAATGTATTGCTGGGCTTTCCTTGCTTTAGTAATTCGAACTGTTTCTTTTCCTTCGCCGGCTTCGCTTCATGCATTTGACTTTTGCCTCTTTCCTTTAGAGAAAATTTCTGACATTCTTTAATTAAATATAATTAACTTTAAAAATTTATAAATTGAAGTAAAAATATATATATAACCATAATTAAGTTTGTGTTGATTTGGTGTAAAATTTGATGCCAGTAATTTACCGTATTTAATATCTCCATTTATAACATCTTTTCTAGTCTTATATAAAATTATTTTGCAATTGTAGACATCAAAATTATATGAGAAATATATATGTTTAGCTGCTCCTAAAAATAATATGCGATTATATATATATGCAATTAGTTTCGGTCAACTAGTCATTTCGTATTTTGCCCAAATTATATTGGTGAACAATTACATACAAAATTTGAGCTTCAAGACGCATCGACTAAAATTAATATTTTGAGTCAATAAAGTTGAATTAGTTATTTAAGTTAAAATTAGTGAAATCCAATCTCGTTTTGGGTTTCACCATTATTATTACCCATGTTCCTGAACTCCAAATGTCCAAAGGATTTTTTCGAGGCTTATTCATCCGAAAAACCTTAGCTTACACTCATGGCAAGGGATCACATATCTCCTTTTGAAGACACCTTTATTAGTGGAAGAATAGAGCAAAGATATTTGCATAATCTAGAGATACACAACTGCAATTACTGCTTTTAAGTAGGCAATTGGGCAGGTGTTTGAACTAATTTCACTACATTTTACATTTCAAAATATTTACTTTATACCATTTCCATATAACTTACTAAAGTTACCTAAAACTTTGGCATGGAATATGGATCGAAGTAGGTCAAGTATTTTAAAACTGACAAATAAGCAAAATGAAATCTGTAGGCTAAAAAGGGAAAATGAAAATAGTTCTTTAGGTGGTTTGGCAAGACATGGGGTTATACATCAGGAGAGTAATTTGCTAACCTTATAAGCTAGTTAAAATAGTTTATAAATACCTTTTAGTTTATTTATTTATTTGGTAAGCACTTCATAAGCCAAAATCAACCAAATTTTTTTGGTTTGATCAAGTATTTTACTATTTTATCCTTAATATTTTTTCTATTCCGCAATATATCTTTCCCAGAACAAAACCTAGTTTACTCTTCACCCCATATCCATCATTTCTCCTTAATTTTCTCTTCAAAAGACTTTCCGATTTTATTTTTTTTTGGTAATAATTTTAATGATATTTTAGTCATTTTAACAAAAAAATAACTTATGAACATGTCTTTATCAAACATATTTTTAACACTTAAAAGCTTATCAACTATGTACCATAAGCTAACTCAAAAAGGTTTGAAGTCTCGCTACAAGAAAAAAGGTCTTCAACGGCAATTAATGAGTATGTAAATGTCACATAATTGTATTCTTCACTGTTGATGAATTTGGGTATGTAAAGACAAGGTGGGTTGCTCTGATCGTAAGCACCCTCCATTTCCAACCAAGAGGTTGTGAGTTCGAGTCACCCCAAGAGCAAGATGGGGAGTTCTTGGAGGGAAGGATGCTGATTTTCTATTGGAAACAATCTCTCTACCCCAGGGTAGTAGTAAGGTCTGCCTACACACTACCCTCCCCAGACCCCACTAGTAGGATTATACTGGGTTGTTGTATATTTGATATTCATTTTATTTTATCATTTGAAGTCAAATATTATGATATTCAGGAATTTGACATGTGGCAAGCTTCATTGTGATTAAGAGTTGGAGAATTTCGTGGTGCTTAGTTTCTAGTTTATACCTATTTGATAACCATTTGGTAACACAAGTTATCAAAGCTGACAACATTAGATTCAAATAGTTTAGGTTCTTTATTGTATCATCGACATTTTGAAATTGTGAATTAGTAGATGCTTTTGTTTGATGTTGATTTAATGAAGTGCATTAAGCATTTTAAAATGAATTATTATTATTTACTTTTAACTGCAATAAGAAAAGTTGTTAAAAGGTTTTCATGCATGGTAATAATATAAATTTACATTGGCCATGGAAAAGTCGTTAAATATATAAAAGGAGATGAATGCAGATAGTTTAGTGGCCATCAATAATTAAATGGGTCTTTAGCAACAATAATAAAAACCGCAAAATGTGTTATTTATGGAATTTTTGGGAAGGTTTAGTCGCAATTGTAATTGTCGGTAAATAATTATTGTAAAAACTAGTAAACATTTACCAGCCATAATAGGGGTCTTTACCGGCACTTGATCCAATGGCAGCTAAAGGCTTTGCCGACGCCGTCTACAACGGCCAATAATTAATTGCCGGTAAAGGTTTTTGCGGCCATCTGTACGCTGAAAGCAATTTTTATTTCCACTAAAGGGCTTTTTTGTTGTAGTGTCTCCTATAATTTTGGTGTTGATCTTTTCGGTGGTGAATACCATTTTTTAGCAGCTTATTTAGAAGGAAAATAAATTGGCTTAGTTGTTTAACAGATAGTATGTTATAGTATCCATAACACTTCGGTGTCACTTTTGATATTTTAACCCAGCTTGCCCCATGGGCAGCACTTTAGACTTTTGACCTTAAAATTTGTCAATGGGGCAAGTAAGAGAGAAAAGATCAAGACCATTCATTTTCAAGGTCGTTGGGTATAAATTCATGGAATGAACCATCCACTGTTTTAAGGACATTTTTTCATCTTATAGCACTTGTTAATCAGAGAAATAATAACAATAACAATAACAACAACACCCTAGTCCCAAACAAGTTGGAGTTAACTATACGAATCCTTGCAACCAACTTTGCCGGTGTGAGTTTACTCCCCCCAGATATAGAGGACTGCAGTATGTTGGCTGCCAACGAAAAACTAGCCAATTATGATGAATACTCACAATATAGATTTCATTGGAGATAACACAAAATTGTTATAACTTGTAAAGGCTCCAATATTTTACATGGTATTAAGCAAAAGTAGGAGATAATGCAAGATTAGATTGTTTAAAAAAAGACAACACATGCAACTTCACGGCTCAAACCCATGAAAAAATGTATTTTACAAACTTGAAGATTGTTGCTTGGACCATACACAGGATCCACCATTGCATAATTTGAAGAGAACTCATTGACAGCAAAACCATTAGATCTAGAAGAGATAGCTTAATGATCACAGATATTGGCCAGGAAAAAGAAGTTGGAACTGAAATAAAAACTAAAAATCACAAGCTGTACAAAACTGGTCCATCTTCCTTATGTCTCTCAACATCATATTAGAAGAATTTATATTTATAGTAATGTAGAAGAGACTTTTACCATCTCACAGGACAGAATGATATAGTTGGATTTATATGGCAAAAAAAGTGACTACAAAATGTTGAGAAGTCTATGGATGTTTCTTGAAGAGCATGGCGACAAATGAGGCATCTTAGTTCATCTATTCTTTCTCCCTCAAGGGATCTAAGAGAGAGCATCAGAGCAATTATCTTAGTTCATCTATTCTTTCTCCCTCAAGGGATCTAAGAGAGAGCATCAGAGCAATTATCTTAGTTCATCTATTCTTTCTCCCTCAAGGGATCTAAGAGAGAGCATCAGAGCAAATGCCAACTCCCTTTTCTTCAAAAAGCAAGTCTTCAGTTACAGAATGTTAAGACATAGACCATTCTGCTTCATATAGTTGTTAAATACGAGATTCTGCAGATTATTATCCAGCCATATTAGCTCCAAATTGTTCTGCCCCAGTGTATCAAAGCAAAAGTTAGAAGCCGTGTACTCTCTCCCACAGTTCAATGGAATGTCATTTGCGTACTATTAGAGGGGTTTACAAGTATTCTAATCACAAATATACCTGAAATGATAGCTATGGGGATGATTTCTCATCATCTGAACTAAAATCATCGTCCATCCGTCTCTCCTGGATTGCTGGAAATAGTCGTTGACGAACATCTGGCAAAGAATCTGGATGGGATTCCTGGGAAGGCGATACCGTGAGTGCCCCTTTTCTAGGAGTGTTTGCCGGCAACTTAGTTGATTTTCTCACCACTGTACATGCCTTGTCGACCATTAACAAGAAATCACGAACAACTGTGAACAGACGCAAGCCTTCATCCTTTCCTGCATTTCCATGGAAGTAGTCTCCTGCACTCTTTACCAAAGCCATTATCTTTTTCTCTTCTTCTAGTATCCAATTGATCTCCTCTTCCGCATGTTGCATAAAATTTGTGAGTGTATCGCGAAACTTACCGCCTTCCTCCAAACTTTTCATTTCAGTGTCTAGAAACCCTTTAATTTTCACTAGTGAGTTACCAAGTTTGGAGACAGATGCACTTAAGTTGTCACCATCTATAAGTGCTGCTTTTCTTACATTCTCGAGCTCATTGCTTAGACCAGAAACCACCTGGATACCAAGGTTGCGGTGGTACTCGACCGAGTCCTGAGAAGCATCCTCGACAAGATCTTCTGTTGTCACACTCGATAAGCTTTCGCTCTCCCTTAACTTGCGTGCTGCTTTTAATCCTTCTGATCGGATAATTTCTTGAACAACAAAGTTGAGGAGTGTGGTCTTACCATCAGTTCCTTTAACATCTGAGAGTTTCAACAGCGTATCGAGCTTGAATGCTTGTGCACCACCACGGTAGGTGCCATCATTCATGCGGTTCCCAGTTTTGAGAACTGCTTCTAGAAGTTTCAGGAAGAGTCTGCTGTTTCTCAGCTCCTGGCATGCCACCTGCAAGTCTTTATTTAATCAATAAATGCCATCTACCATGTGAATATGTGATGGTTAGAAACACCTATCAGAGAACAATGTACTGAAAGTTTTTCTATTTAACCATTACCAGGAGTAAGAGACCCAAATTTCATGACTTTCCTTTAATGTAAAGAAGAGGCAGTACCCATCTTCATTCAGTTATATAGGGTGGTAGAGATCAAATAACCTTTGACACTGTATTACGGGTGACTGGTCTAAATTGTTCGTCAACTTTTTATTTTACGCACTGAATTTCACAATTAATCAAAATGACCCCTTTTTCAATAGAAAAATAAAAAAACTTTTGCCTGTTCTTATAGATAATGGGACACTCATAATCTAACAAGAAAAAGTCTGGCAAGTCAAACTAACCGGATTTAATTTCAGTCCATCAGGATTAGACAGGGAAATGATACCTTCCAATTAGAAAAATCTTGAGCTCTTATATATTGTTCAGCACTAGTTATCTAAGAAGAAAGCCAGCTCCTTATTTTTTTAACCATGATCTTGGAAAATCCAAAAACAAACTTTTACTGATGAATATACAAGATCAGTCTCATGAAATGTGACACACAAATGATGCTCATTTGATTCTTCTTTCTTAACTCTTCCTAGAATTTATGTGATGGTGTGTGGTATAGTTGGATGCAGGAAACCACATACAAATTATGGCGGCAGCAGAACAACAGGAAATTTTCCACACAATTTACCTCTAAAGTTGCGAAGGACTCTTTAATGGCAGAAACATCTTCCGGAAGAGAACTCATGAGCAATAACGCTTCCATCCGTTTGAAGGCAAAGGGAATTTCAACCAGGGATTTGAGAAATCTTTCAGAAGGACCAAGCTGAGAAATTTCCCCACAATATAATCGAAGTTTGAGTTCTTCATCTGCCGTTGGTGCCATCTTTGATATAGTTTGAATAAGTTCAGGAGGCAGTTTCTTACCTGATAAGATAAGCAAGCATTTGCAGTTAAAAGGCAGAGACCTACTTGATAAAATGAAAATAAAAACTATGAAAATGCACAAAGATTAAAAAAAAAAAGTAAGTTGGAGTGTCTCTCAACAATCTTTTTCCACAAGTTAATACAATAGAGCAATTCAAGTCTGCTTATGTTGGGACATGAAAAAAGATTCTCATATAATGAAACTTCAATTTTTTTCGATGGGAAACCGTTTAGTACTCTATAAGAAGAATATCAAACAAGAACCAGACACAACCATAGACAAATATGTAATTCTATAGTTTTTCAATTTACTTATGACCCATCAGCAGTGCTTGGTGGGGACTTGTACTTAATCTTCACTTTTTGGTGAAACGTATCAGAATGAGCAATGTAAAATATTTTATTATCACCAGAGTAATACTTAAATAACTGATAAGCTATTCTTTTCTCTTGCATTCTTTTTCTTTCTTTAGGGAGGAGGGCCGGGGAGGAATTAGTGGGGACGGTTGAAGAAAATTATAAGGTTTGTTCTATAAAATCATCATAAAGGTTTATTTTCCATTTAGAAATGGGATGTTGTTTTCAACTTAATCGAATTAGATGGCAACATTGAAAACATACCTTTTCTTCTTGAAATTGACCCTGGGCTTTTCATACTTCAAAATACTTTTTGATTAATCTCAATGCGCTTGTAGGCATTTCCCAACACCATGTATTAAGCAGAATTAGTAGAATGAAACTTCTTTATTTCTCGAAACATTTAAGTAAATAACATAGAGTTTCCTAATGGACTGACAAGAAGTTCTATGTGCAGACTATGTTGTTTTTGCTCTTCCGTTCCTAATACTTTTATCTCTTTTTAAGGCTGTCAATAACTTTCATGCAAAAGCGTAAAATGAAATGAGAACACTAAAGTAAAATCCCTCCTAGGATTAAACATACTCTTCTCAATGGTGATAAATTTACTATATTCATTGCCCATTAGCTATTAATTCAGAAAAGCAAGATTCACTCTCACGGAACTCATGGCGGAGACACAGAGAAAGAGAGAACATTTACCCTCCTTGAGAGCATCACAAACTTCTTCTGTTGTTACATTTAAGGCTTTAAGAATAATTGCTAGATTTTGTGATTTCTTAGCGTCAATTATCTGAATATACTGTGGGGTAGCTTCAAAAGATGCTGAAGCTTTTGTGCCCTCATTTTTGCCTGGATTAGCTTGGGCATATCCGAATAACGACTCCATCATCTCCTCATTAAACCTGTAGTAACATCATTATAAAAAGTGAGAAAGTCAGACATTTTGCATAAAATAAAGTGCATAGGAAGATTGACGAAAAGCTTACTGGAATGAGCCAGCTTTGATGTCATGCCAAACCATTGAGTGATCAGGATTAGCAAGAACTTTGTCCCAGAAAAATGGCTTTAGTTTTGCCTTTGGAGCATCAGATTCATCAGACGATTCAGTTCCCTTACCATCCGAAGAACTTCGTCTCTTATGCGCTCCAAGAGGTGAAGGCTTTGGCAGATTACCAGGCTTTGGTGGATTAGGAGGAGGAGGGCGAACAGCTTTTGGAGGAGGAGGTGGCTTTGGAGCGGGTGGTTTAGGAGGAGGAGGAGGTGGTGCAGGGGATGGAGGTACAGATTTTCCTGGAGGAAGTGGTAATGCATTTACAAGTGCATCTGTTTTAGCTTCAGCATCTGAAGAATTATCTGGCACCGAAAGACGATTTACAGTAGATGATGCCTTGAAATCTTTCTGGGTTGAACTTCCTATGCTCGAAGACTTCTGAGAAGAATCTGATCACATGAATTGTAGAAATTATGCGGCATAACAAAAAAAAACATATNAAAGACATGCAATGAGATAATTTGACCTTCATGATTAATACCTGCAGAAAGATTACCTGAACAAAAGTTAAGAAGAGGCTTCTCATCTCTTTGCCCATATTGTGGACCTGCTTCTTTCTTTTTACTTTTTTTAAGACACAATATTAAGAACAGAACCAAAAGGGCAATTCCTGCCACAGCACCTACAGAAACAGCAGCGATAATATAAGTAGTGTCCTTCCGGTTATTTTCTGAAGAATTAGTTCCAGTATTTTGTGGTTTAGCAGGAGGAGGAATGACAGGCAAAGGTTTAGAAGCGTTGGCACGAGTCTGAGGTGTTGGAGCCTTTGCAGGAGGGTTGACACGAGTCTGAGGTGCCGGTGCCGGTGCTTTTGCAGGAGGACTGACACGAGTCTGAGGTGTTGGAGCCTTTGCAGGAGGTTTAATTGGTGAGCTCGTGGGCCCTCTAAAAGAAGGCACTGGAGCATTAATTGGTGATACTGCCCTGTCGCCTGGAGATGGAGCGATGATTGGAACTGCAACATCATGTGTTAGCTTATCTTGAAGCTTTCTTTCTCTTAGGTACCTTCTGGGAACACTGGACCATTGTAAGAAAAGCTCTTGGTACTTGCTTAACCAAGCAATGGATGTAGCCTTACTACCCGAACAATGAAGAGGAAGACTTTTCCTTCTTAAGCACTCCAGAAGGATCTGCTTATTTTCAGGAGTCAGATCACTAATAGCCTTTTGTAAGATTCTTTTTCTCAACAATGCTATATCAGATTTTAAGTAGATATAAGTTCCCGTTGCTGCCTGATGAAGAGACAAATCCAGAAAACTTGCAGCCTCTGTATTCTTTTGTGATCGTTGTATGCAATGACTCCATATTTGCTCGGCCTGCATACAGAACAATTCATCAACTTATGGCCAGAAATATAATTTTGACAGTACAAGAATTTTACTATGAACTTTGATTTCTAAAAGACCATTATAACTTCGTTTTCTTCTCACATGTAAACAGCATATGCATTTCCACTCAGATCTTCATTTTCTGAAGCTTGAGAAGTGATGGCTGCATTTAGAACAACCGATACCACATTCAAAAACTAAATTGGAGCGCACAACTTGTCATCCTACAATTCACTGCCTAAATCCAGAATGCATACTTCTGGGATATGTAAATTGTAACACAAGTTTACTTTTAATAGTTATAAGCACAACATAAAAAAAATCTGAAATAATTAAATCTCTAGCTTGGAAACATATAAGCTAGTTTTGAAGAAGCATAAAGTTAGAACTAGCAATAGATCTTCTCAACCTAGTAACTTTTTTGTTGCACAAAAATCTTCAAAATACATGTGCTTGTTTTGACACAAATAAATTTAAAGAAATTAGTTCAGATAATCACACTGGTTTTTCTCATACCATGAGAAATATTTCCACTAGTCTGAGGTGCAAGCTTAGATATTTTTCTTTTTGTCTTTGTTATTAAATACAACTCTATCTCTTGTTTCTTTTGTCCGCATTACAGAAAATGATACAACTTATGTAGTTACATCGCTAGCCTTTCGCATAGTGAAATAACTTCAAAAACGATGGCATATGACTCCTAGCCCTGACTGTCCTTTAATTGCTTTCTCCCTTTTTTTTTTTACAACTGTGGTGTCCAAGCCAACTTACACGCATCTCGACGAATTCCACAGGATACCTGTCACCTCCCACCAGCACCAGGTAGTTCCATCTATCAAGGCTTGGACACATGGGAAGAAATCACATAGTATTTTTACAAATTGTCTCCTCCTTAATTGCATTGATTTATCCTAAAGGTTCATTTCCTATTTGAATTTGGTTATTCACATTGTACGT